GGGTCCAGCAGCTCCACTCAGGGCCGCAAACCCAAGACAAACAGAAACGTGCTCGCGCAGAAATCCGCACTCGCGAGTTCAGAGGCATAAATCACGACCGCCAAAACCTGGAGACGACACAACCGCCCAACAGCAGGTGAACCCCGACCGCTAGAGAGAACACTGTTCCGTCACGCGGGGGTGACGCACTGACACGCCACACAGCACAAGCCCTGAACACATCTCACCACGCGAGGGGCCGGACACAGAGACCGTGTCACGCATGAAAAACTGCAAACCCGCAGAGACAGGATAGAAGTGAGTGACTCCCGAGGGGAGGGGAGCGAGTACAGTCTCCCTCTGGGATGAGTGTTCTGCGGGGATGGGGGCGCCTACTCCCAAGAGGGGGTCATGTGCTAGGAGACTCACGCCTCCATGAGCTGCTGGGGTTCCCATCCCTGCCCCACCTGAACCCCCTGCTGCACCTGCCCAAATCCAAACCCAGCCCCCAGCCCCCAGCCCCACCTCCCACCGGCAGCCAGTCCTCCAGCTGCCCCCAGTCCTCTCCCCTCCCAAGGGCCCACCCCCGCCCCGCCCAGCATCCCAGGACTGAGCTTCCTTCCTCCCCAGCCCGCACCGCCACCTGGAACCATCCGCCCAGCCCACGAGACTCACCGAGGGGAAGCAGCCTGGCTGGCCCTGGCGTCCTTGACTGGCTGGGGGCCACTCAGACCTCACACCCCTGTCAGCCTGGGTGGTGACACTCCACAGCCCCACTGGCGGTGCAGGCAGGCCCTACGCTCTCCTCTCCAGCTCCCACCCACTTCCATTTTCTGTGGGTGGCTTCACCCTTCGCCCCAGGCCCAAATACCCATCCGTCCCCTCCCCTACCTCCCACCCAGGCCACCTCCCACACCCGCAGCTGATGCTGCCAGGCTCCCACCTGTTCTTTCAATGCTGAGAGCAAGTCGGCAACGCCATCAGAACCGTAAGCCCTTTTTTGGTGGGCAAACGGGGGCCTCTGTCAACTTCCCCCATTTCCTCCACAACGGCAGTCTGCTCAGACTTCTTCCATCTTCCCGGAGTCGGCCGGGTAGGCCGCACTTCCCCAGAACACAATCTGCGCCTCGCTCGGTTTCCCAGTGCACCAAAAGAGCTGACCAAAGTGGTCCCTTCTGACCCTGCCCCTGCCCCCCGCCCCGCTTTCTTCCTCTTTTCACTGACCCGCTGCCTCACGGTAAGCCTACCTCATGGCTTGCTCTCTCCCGTCGGCCTCCCACCCAGCCACACAAGCCTCACCCTTGCTCTCAGCCACTGTCCCCGTATCCTCAGGGGCACCAGCCGGCCCCGCCTCCAACCCTGTGTGGCCCTCCCGGGGGTGCAGGCAGGCGGCAAACTCCAGAGGCCCTGGCCCCCATTCCCCGCTATCTCCAAGATAAACCAGTATCGAGAATTCCTAGAGCCTCCCTGCGCGGTTATGGCGGCAGGTGCGGCAGGAGCCCAGAGGCCACCTGCCACCGTCCGGGAACACCCAGCATCCAGGTCTTCAGACACGTCTGTCAATGCTCCTCATTCCTTAGTCTGGGCAAGTAACTGAAAACTGCTTAAACAAACAAAAATACTCTCTAGGGGGAAAAAAATGGATGGAACCACGCCTATAGGCCACGCTCCGTTTGTCACCCCTCAATCAGGCCGGACCCCCATTCTTGGGGGGGTGTTTACGTCCTTCCACCTTGCCCGTTCTCCCCAGTGAAAGTAGCAGCTCCCCCAGAAAGCCTTCCCAGACTTCTCCCTTCCCTCAGCTCAAGTATCCTCTCTTTTCAAAGCACAAACTACACGTCAGACCCTCATACCCACTGCAATGGGTTCGCAATCCCGAGCCCATAACACCGTCAGAGAGGAGAGGACAAGCTCTCCGGGCGGGCTGCCAGAGTCCAACTCAGCCCTGCCACCCACAGCCACATGACCTTGGACAAGGTGCTCTGGCCTCTGTGCCTCCTGACCCTCCCGGCCCCGCGTCCAGATCAGAGGTTAACATGTGTGAAACGCTCAGCCGGAAGCCAGGCGCTCAAGATGTGCCCAGCAACCCCTGGCAAGAAACTGTTGAAGCTGGGGTTCACACAAGTTCACAGAGCCAGCCACCAAGTAGAGGCGCCAGACTCCAGCCAGGTCGGCCAGCCGCCAAGGTCATCGTTCCTTTCCTCCTCACCCTCGGGATCCTGGCACTGGCTCCCTTAACCGCCATCATTACAGTCGCAGCCTGTGGCCCCAGGTGGCCGCGGGAGCAGCTCAGGGCCCCTGGCCACCCATCCAGGCTCCTGTGGCTGGCTGCTCCGTGGTCGTGAGGCCACAGCTCTCCGTGCTCCTACGACAAAACCACGGACGCCACCAGCGTGAGTCATCCCCGCAACGAGAGGCTGGGGCTTGGGGTGCCCTGAACCAGCCAGTGACCCTTCATGACAACGCACCCCCTGCTACCCGATAACGGACACCGAAAAGGCCTTGAGGATAGCCTCCGTCTCCCCCAGACCCCAGCCGTGGCCGAAAAAAAGTCATCAGAGCCCGTGGCATTACGGTGAAGGGCCAAGCTCTGGAATCGCATGCAGAACGGTGTTCCCAGTGCAACCATGGGGCCCAGGGCTCCATCACACCCCTGAACTGGGGGCAACCAACCCCATCCCAAGACCTCAGAGAGCTTGGGACAGCGAGGACCAGACACAGGACCAGGCGCCTGCCAAGTGCTCAGGAAGCAAGTGCCGTCAAATTTAATCTGTCACCAAGAGGCCAAAGCTGCAGCTGGCTCCCGGAGGCCCCAGCACACGTGAGGCTTTGGGCAGCATGGAGGACAAGCGAGCAAGGTCTGGAGGCTGACATGTGTCTGAGCACAGGTGCCCGGGGAGCTGTGTCCCCAGCACCGACTACCGCTGTCGTCACTGCAGCCATGGGTCAGAGTGGCGAGCCCAGAGCTCACCATCACCTTCCCCCAAGCCCCAGGGTCCTCTTGGCCAACCCCTCCCTGTCTTTCAAGACACAAGATACACCACCTCCCATGGGGACAAGCTTCCCTCTGGGCACCTACAGTTCCCAGAAGGGATGGTCAGGGAAATCCCCCAGCCCTCTCCCTGGTCCTTCTGTATGTGTGTCCCCGACAGGCCTCCAAGCTGCTGCAGGACAGGAACTGCCACCCAGTGTCACCCAGCTCTGGGTCTGGCACAGGGGATCCTCAAGAAACACACACCGAGGGACCCTTCTCTCCCACCCCATGGTAGAGCGCTGTGTCAGGACCACTGTGCCCATGGGCCCAGCACAGGGCAAGCCTTATCCAGAAAATGCTGGACTGTGCTCTCCACCACAGGGAATGAGGAAAGAGGGAAGTGACAGGTCCATGGTCACCATGCTGGAAGAGACAGGAGGCAAGGCCTGGCCTAGGAATGCTTGGCTCCAGAGCCTTTCTTACAGACCTTCCACTCAGCTCTCTGGAGGGGACACGCATTAACAGCTTCCCTACCAAGTCAAAGCGACTACTACCATCCCTCTTCACCCAGGCAGAAACTGAGATGAGAGTCATTTACGCTGTAAGGTCACGAAGTACCAGGTATGGAGCTGGGATCTGAACTCAGGTCTGTCTGACCCCAGCACTTCTAAGGCCACACGGTTGCTCATGGGTCAGGCATGCTGATAAGCCCTTGGGGTTCTCCCGTTCCTCAGCTCAGCGGGTGTGCGGGTGGGGGTCAGATCTGGAAAACTTCCAGGGGAAAAAGCTAAGACAAGAGATAACAACGTGGGGATCTGATCCCAATGCTCTCGGGGCTGAGGCAGGACCACAGGGAACTACAGCAAAAGCAGGCAGGTGGACGCCAGCTGCATTTAGCCCAAGAGGCTTAGGTCTTAGGGGATAAGCGGGGATCAACAGTGACCGTGCTTCCCCAGAGCAGAGGCCGGCTGACTCCCAACTGTGTCCTAAGCACTGCCCAATACAGCCCGGCACCAGGCAGCCACACACCAAGTGACCCCTTCCTGAACGCCTCTGGACGGGGCTGTGCCGGGAGGCCTTCCCACAATTGCTCTGGGGGAGGGGGTACTCCGTGTCCAGGTCCCCGTCTCTGCCAGCCCGCTCCGGGACCTTGTTCTTGACCCTGTCCCGGTGACCAGCATGGGGCCGGACACTGGGAGAGCCTGTGGGTGACTTTTCCGTCGTGGGACGCCACCATCCTGTGCCTGCCCAACCCCCGTCTCCACGAACTGGGGTGTCCCCCCTTGCGGTCGGGGCTGGGAGTGGGGGTGGGGTAGTCAAGCAGCACAGCTGGGCGCCCGGGAGCCCTGGAGGTGGCCTTGCGGCCCGGCCCCCGTCCGCCCCGGTCCAGCAGGCCACGCGGTGCCTGACCTTGGCCCAGTCATTTCCCCTCCGGCGAACGCGCTTCCTGCCCGCCGCCCGCGCCGGGGCGAATGAATGAGCCTCCCGCGAGGACCCAGACCGTAATCACCCGCGGATCAAAGGCCGCACGCAGCCCGCCCGCGGCGGCAGCGGAACCCGGGCTTCTCGGGAAGCGGGAAGGAGCGTCGAGGGAGGGGGAACAGGCCGGGGACCCAGACGCGCCCCCCGGACCGCCGTTTCCGGTCAGGCCTGCCCGGCCCGCGCGTCCCCTTCCCCCACCGGGGCCTCAACTTCCCCCGGGAATCACCAACACTTCCGGCCACGACCTGCCGGGGAGGCTGCGGCGGCCCCACCCCCGAGCCCCCGGCCCGATCCCCGGCGCTGCGCAGGCGCGCTCCCTCCCCGGCGCGGCCCCGGCGCGCACGCGCGTTCCCCGCGGCTCCGCCTGGCGCGCCCTCGCCCGCCCGCGTCACCGGTCGCGCGCCCACTCACGCCCCCCCAGCACGCGCACGCGCACTCGCCCGCCCAGTCGCGCTCGCCCGCCCGCCTCCCCGCCCGCCCCCCGCCCGCAGCGGGGCACCCCGAGGCGCGCGCCCACCCCGGCCCCGGGTTCACGCCCCCCCCCGCCTCCGCGCCCTCCCCTCACCTACTCGGTCCCGGGGCCGCCGCGCCGCACTCCTCCTCGCTCCTCCCTCGCGGATGGTGGCAGCGGCGGCAGCGGCGACTCAGACCCTGGGGTCAGGGGGACGGGCGCCCAGGCCGGAAGTGACCTTCCCGGCCGCTTCCGCCCGCGCTGCTCCCCCTCCTTTCCCACCCCCCCGCCGGCCTCCACCCCGTCCTCGCCGCTCTAGGAAGGCGAGCCCGGAGACCCCCTCGCCGCCGCCCCCCTCAGCTCTATGGTGCGGAGCGGGCGCCCCTGGGAGCCACTTCCGGACGGTCTAGGACACGGGTCCTCCGTCCCCGCTCTATGGCGCCGCGCGCCGAGGGGCTTCGGGCCCCGCCCCCTTCCAGGACAGGAGGCGCGAGCCCGGCCCGTTAGGCGGAGACTTCCGGGTGTCTCGGGAGGTGCCCCCCCCACCCAGCCCGGCGCTCGCCGCTCGCGCCTGCGCGGTCGGCGCCCCGCGCGAGCCTGGGACGGAAAGGTGTGGGGGAGAGTGGCGTCGAGGGCCGCTCGTGCCACCCCGGGTCCTCCGGTCGTCTCTATCATCGTAACCCTTTCCGTGCCGGGGTTCGTGGCGGGTGCGGGGTCCGCTCGCAGGGACAGCTCCGGGGCACAGCCCTGACGAGCCCTGCCCGGTCCCGGGCTGAACTTCTAGGACGGGGATCTTGCTGGCCCCGAGGCAAGCCCCACAAGTGCCCTCGCTTCCTGCACCTGCCGCCTGGCATTCCGAGCGGCCAACCCCTTCCTTCCCCGGTCCCCTTTCCTCTGGGTAGGAGATGGGAGCTGGGCTATGGTTTCGTCTGGGAAGGTCCCCGGGGCTCGGAGCTACCCCTGGAGCTGCCAGAGATCCAGGGCCAAAGCAAGCCTTGCCCGTCTCTTGGCCTCAGTGTCCTCCTTTTTCACATTGGGCGCCTGCGAGGGCTTTGCATGCTTTAGGTCCCATTAATAACCTGTTCCCACTTCGCAGATAACAAGGGACACCGAGCTCAGGCACCTGCCCAAAGCCACACGCCCGGAATGCAAAGCCTGGGCTCCAGGCGTAGTAGACCACTGGCCCCAGCGGCGGGGGCCTCGCCTGCTTCCCTCATGGGAGGCCAGCACTTAGGAACCCCCACTAACTGTTGGCTCTCATTTCGGGGTCCTCACACAAAGTCGGTACTTTAATATTACAGTTTACACCACAGTGTCCTCATAGGCTAAGCCCCTCTGGCTCTCATGTAAGGATGACTTACCATGGTTACTGTAACCCTTTTATGATCGTCCTCATGGAAACAGTCACCAATAACAAATAAATATAAATAACGAATTTAAAAGAAACAGTCACCAAGCTTGGGTGTCAGGAGGATGGGGACGTACGAATCCCTTATTGGATGACACTTCTCACAGACTCAATTTAGTGAAATAATCTGTGCAAGTGTGCTCAATCCAGGACCTGCCTCATAGCCAAGTCTCAGTGAAAATGGTAGTGATCAGTAAGACTTACTAGGACTGCTACTTCTGCTCTGTCCACTGTCTGGGTCACGTCTCAGTCTGCATCAGTTGTAAGGTGTGCATTGTAGATCTTATAACACCCCTTCAGAAAAAAAAAATACTGTATTAAATGTATACATAAAAGGTCAGATATGCCTGTGTCTCATCTTCAGAAGTACCACAAAAGTAAATGTTTTTAAACTAATTATTATTGTGGGCTTGAACTTTACATCATGAGAGCTGAGACACATCTGTGTCCTCTGACCCAGATCATTCAGTGTGTGTCTGCAGTGGCCTGATGAGGGCCAAGCGGGGACACAGCTTCCTCCCTCTCCCCTTTCCACCCTCCCAGTTGGCCAGACTGGTGAGACCTGGAGAAACGCTCTTGGACAGAAGCTGTGTGTTGAGGATGGTGGAGTAGCAAGCTAGGAGGTTCCAGAGAGACACTTGTTGGCATAGTGAAAAGCGGGTTCTGTGCCTCCGTGAGCAAAACGGCCTTCTGTCTGATTGAAACCATCGATGCTTCTGAGTCTCTCTTAAGACTGCCCAACCAATAATGGGATATGTCCAAAGCATAGGACGGGGATGAAGTAGAGATGGGTGAGTGGTCAGAGAAACCTGCCCTTCCCTTCCAGAGTATAGAGACACCCCTGCAGTGCATCTTCCCTTCCAGGGACTGCAGGTACCAGTCTTGGCATCTGAGTGTGGCCTCATGATCATACTTGTCACTAAGATGGGAGCAGAGGGACACAGATCATTTCCAAGCCTCAGATCTGAAAAACAAGCATGCTTGCTCCATGCCTTCTTCCCTGGATACAGAAAATACCCAGGTCCTAGGGCATGGTAGAGCCCCGAGAAGATGGGGTCCCTCCACAACCATCTCTCCCAGTGCCCAATGCTCACCCAACATTGTTACATCATCAAGAAATAAGCATCTAATTTGTACACCCATGTTTATAGCAGCATGAATCGCAAAAGATGGAAACAAGTGGCTGTTGAGGCATAAGAAAATGTGGTTCATACGTTATCCAGCTTTATAAAGGAAGGAAACTGCGACACACAGTGCGGTCTGCTTGAACCTTGAGGGTGTGATGCGAAGTGAAATAAGACAGAAAGACAAAGGCTGTATGACTCCACGAGGTGCCTAGAGGAGCCAAGTTTATGGAGAAGCAAGGAGAGGGGTGATTTCCAGGGGCTAGGAGCAAGGTGGGGAGGGAGGGTTTCATGAGTCTGGAGATTGAGTTTTGCAAGATGCAAAGACTTCTGGAGACAGATTGTGATGATTGCACAACAGTGTGAACTAAAAGGTGGTTAAAACAGTAAATTTTATGCTCTATGTATTTTATCACACTTAAAAATTTTCTAAGTAAGGAAGCGAATAATATGACGTGCCATGATAATGCATATCACTGATATAGAATGTATATTGGTGGTCTGAACGCTTATGTCCCTCAGAACTCATGGTGCAATGTAACTCCCCAAAGTGATACCAGGATATCAATATTAGGATATTAAGAGATGGGGACCTTTGGGAGGTGATTAGGTCACAAGGGCGGAGCCCTCACGAACAGGATTGATTCCTTTATAAAAGGGACTCCAGAGAAATCTCTAGCCTTTCCACCAGGGAGGGTGCAGGGAGAGTCCAACTCTGAGCCAGGAAAGGGACTTCACTGGAAGGTGATGGTGCTGGCACCTTGATCTTGGACTTCCCAGCCTCTGGAACTGTGAGTAATACATTTCTGATGTTCATAAGCTCCCCAGCCGCAGTATTTATCACAGACTAAATCACATGAGTTTCTTTCTTCTGGAAGGTTCCTCTACCCTAACTCGTGTGGGGTTTCCAGATGTCGGGCAGTGAACACAATGGCCGTGCTCCCCTTCGGGGACGCCTCAGCGCCTAGATGGAATTGAAAGCCACGGAACTGAATAAGATGGAGCGGGAGGGGAGAGAGGGAGGGAGAGAATGGAGCGCGCCTGTCGAGAAGGAAGCAGACAGCGGCTATCTGACCCGAGCCAGGCCAATCCGTGCCCTTCCTTGGGAGTTTTCTCTCTGGGATGGAGAAGCTTTGCTTCTTCTCCACCCTGTGGAGGAAGCCAGTTTGCAGGAGGAGAAAATGTCCTCCTCTGAGAGATGAGAGGTGGGGACGGAGCACAGGTGTCTCCAGCATCCCCTGGGCCCCCTGAGGTTTGGTCATTGGGCTCTCACTTCCACGAAGTGAGTCCCTCCCAACTCCTTCCCGGAAATCCCCATTTTGGCCACCTACGTTCGTGTCGCTGTGACCGAAGCATGGTGCACCCACAAACCTCATTCGGGGTCAACGTGAGTGAACAAGGATGGGCTGGGCGAAGTGGCAGCTGAGCCCCCAGCACTGCTGTGCTCGCAGAGACGCAGGGGTCCCGGGGCCCAAGCCCCAGGTGCCAGCCCCTTCGTGTCCCCCTGATGAAACCTCCCTGACCACTAAGCGGCCAGAATAGCTGCAGGGTGGACGGAGACTTGGCAGCTGCTGTACCACCACTGAGAAGTGTCCCGAGTCAGGGAGGACACAGGCACCCAGATCACTGTGATAGTGAGCAACCTGAGCAACCGGCTGGAGCCTTCATCCTGGGCCGGGCGCAGGGCTGTGCTCTTTGTTCTAGGCTTCCTCACCATCTCAAACCCCTGAGGTCCTGCAGACCCGTCCTCAAGTTGTGAGCCTCCAGCCTGCTGCACCGCATCCCCATCCCCGGGACCCTGTGAGAAATGCAGAGTCCCACCCGCCGAGTCAGAACGGGCACTTTAACCCCGTGCATAAGCGAGTCTGGCCCACGAGAAAGTTTGCAAAGACTTAGCGTCAAACAAACTACAGGACGCCCAGTCAAATTTGAATTCCAGGAAAACGATGAGTTATTTTTTAGGATGAAAATGTGCCAATATTTACGCACAAAAAAATTATTTGTGGGGTTTTTTTTAAGATTGTATTTATTTATTTGACAGAGAGAGAGAGATCACAAGTAGGCAGAGAGGCAGGCAGAGGGAGAGGAGGAAGCAGGCTCCCCGCTGAGCAGAGAGCCCGATGCGGGGCTCGATCCCAGGACCCTGAGATCATGACCTGAGCCAAAGGCAGAGGCTTAACCCACTGAGCCACCCAGGTGCCCCTTATTTGTGGTTTAATACAAATGGAACTGTGTGTCCTGTATTCTTATTTGCTGTAACTGGCAACCCTGCGTAGAGGACCCGGTGGGCGCTTTTAGGACACCAGACACCCTCCCTGCTGGGGGCTTCCCCAGATTTCCACACTTCCTCCTTGCATCTCAGGCGCAGGGGTGGGGTCGGGGGTGCATGGAACTGAGGGGGACAGTTCCACCCCTGGGCTTTAGGAAATGAGAGGAACACCTGCCGTAGGTCCAAGCTAATCAAAGCAGAATCACGTCCTGTGGCCTCTGTCTCTGGGTAGGATGTAACCCCATTCGTGCCGGCGTGATAAAGAGGTGTTTTCAGTGGGGTGTGGACAAGTAAGTTTGTCCTGGCTCTCTTTCCAGAAGGCAGAATACAGGATGCGATGCTTGGGGTGGAGGGAAGTCATTTTGCCACCGTGAGGGTAGCTGAGACATCGAAGCAGAGAAATGTTCACCTCTAGCCTGGAAGGCTGACCTATCGCCTTCATAGACCCGATAAAGATCAGATACGTGCTCGCTGCTGCATTCTTAATGGGTCTCATGACCGTGCACACATCTCACCCACAGTTAATACCGAACTGAATGGTAAGCACCAGAGAAATCTGGTGAAAGTAGTTTCACGAGTAGGAATTCGAACGAGACGTCTACAATCACATCCTCCCTGCACATCCCCTCCTCCTGGAGCACCAGCTTCCTGCAGCCAACGCGCTGCGCTTTCTGCTCGTGGTCCTGTTCCTGTGCTGCCATAAAAACAGCTTTTTGTGCCAAGAACATCTCACGAATTTCT